CTTAGCACATCCTCTAGGAAACGGATGGGATCAGTCATGATAAATCCAATCTCTGCAGCACCAGATAATCTGTTTTCAAGCTGGAGTGGGTGCTGAGCTATCTGTCCTGACAGCCAGCTGCAGGACAGCCAAGGGGCTGCAGGGCAATGTGGCTGCAGCCCAGAAGACTTGTGTCACTGTTCCTGTGTACAGCAAGTGGATTGGGTTCACAGCACTGTGTCCTAGAGTGTCCTGCTGAGGTATGGCATATGCCACTCTTGCATGATGCACTGTAAGAATGCATCTCTCTAAAGGTGCAACTGATTAATTCCTGAATGGCTTACAGCCTTTCTTTTGGGTATTAAATTCATGCAGAAAGGCCACATGTCTACTGACTGCAGGAGACTGGAGAAAGATGCATGTGATTCAAATTGCTCAGTGGTTTTGAGCCCAGATCTCCTGTTTCTGCTCTAGGCACTGTGATATGAGACACTGTGCCTTAGTGGCAGGGATCTTTGCAGCTCGCGGTGCTGCAAATGCTCTGCTGTGCCCTTTGAGATATCAGTAATGGTGGAAGATGTACACCGGGATTTAAAAGTGATTTGACCATCCTAATGGTCAGACAAAGTGAATCACGGAATCACAGAATTGTAGGGATTGGAAGGGACCTCCAGAGATCATCGAGTCCAACCCCCTGCCAAAGCAGGTTCCCTACACCAGGTCACACAGGTAGGTGTCCAGGCGGGTCTTGAATATCTCCAGAGAAGGAGACTCCACAACCTCCCTGGGCAGCCTGTTCCAGTGCTCCGTCACCTCACCGTAAAGAAGTTCTTGCGCACATTGGTGCGGAACTTCCTATGCTGCAGTTTCTGGCCGTTCCCCCTTGTCCTGTCTCCACACACTGCTGAAAACAGTCTGGCCTCGCCGCTCTGCCCCCCACACTTAGGTATTTATACACCTGGATCAGGCCCCCTCTCAGTCTTCTTTTCTCAAGGCTAAACAGACCCAGTTCACTTAGCCTTTCTTCATAGGGGAGATGCTCCAGGCCCTTCACCATCTTTGTGGCCCTCTGCTGGACTCTTTCCAAGAGATCCCTGTCTTTTTTGTACTGGGGAGCCCAGAACTGGACACAGTATTCCAGATGAGGTCTTACCAGAGCAGAGTAGAGGGGGAGGATCACCTCCCTCAACCTGCTGGCCATGCTCTTTTTTAATGCACCCCAGAATGCTTGTCAAGAAACACTTAACCATCAAGAGGAGCAGAAGCTGCATCCCAGCTGTTCCCTCCTTGGGCTGGGTGCCCAGTGCCGGGCTGCAGATATGGCACAGCAGCAGCTGGACAGCTGGGGAGCCAGATCTGTGCGCCCCAGCAGCAAAGAGAGCTCTGCTGGGATTCCCAGCAGGCCAGGAGGGCAGGGGAGGCCCAGAGACTTCCAGAACAATGCAGCAGTTTTCCCTCTGGGCAGCTTGTCTCTGCTGTATTTGTGTCCCCAGCTGCTTAGCAACTGGATTAAACTGTCACAAGATGTTGGCAGTGCCCTCCCTTCCAGGGCAGGGGCAGGGCTGCATCCCGTGGGACTGTCTGCCAGAAGAGTGAGCAAGGTCCTGCTGTCTGTGGCTGTGCCCAGGCTCCAGCCCTCGCCCAGTCTGACAATGCTCTGGGAGAACTCAGACCTTCTCCCTGCCGGGTGGCCCTGCTCAGTAGTGCTGACCTCCCTTTCAGGGCCACGCGAAGGGCAATAGATGAAAACAGAGTTGTTGGGAGGGCAGTTTATAGTATCACTTGTCCTTATAAGTGGCTGACGTGCAAAAGATAGTTGTTTGCGAGAGTTGACAGCTTGTGTTTACCTCGATCTGCAAGTATTTGTAATTCATTTCTAAAATAATGAAGCTCTAGACATACTGGGAACATTACAAATGACCCTCAGCGCTCTGATGTGCTTCCAAAACATGTGCTGCCATGAGTTGAAAAGCACGAAGAGTCAGATGTTTCCGGGGAGAGACAGGGAGATGATGCAGATGAAATGAAAATGATGGAGATAACTCATCTATCTCTATACAAATATTTAATTTTGATGGCTGGAAGCAACCACAAGTATTACAAATGGGGAGAAGGCCTTGTCGCTCCGAGCATCTCTCCTGCCTGACGCCACAGCACTACAACAAGGAGCTGGTGCCAGCAGTAGGCCCATGCCTTGGTTTTCATTCTCTCCCACACCTCCTGGCCCTGCTGTGCCTCAGGCCCCCTGTGCTGATGGATCAAGAGTCTGGGGACCAACATCACACCTCATGAGAGATAGAATAGACCTATGACAGAAATAGGACGTTTTGGAGGTGGGTGGCACTGCCAAAGATTCGGCATTACTGAGCTTTTCAAAGAAGCATGAAGTAACTTTTGTCCACACAGGTGCCCAAAATTTCGGCTCTTTCATCTCTGTGTGGAGAAAGGACAGAATGCTGTTTTGCTATTTCTCAGTTTGTTCATGTCTTTATGGCAGTTCCTCATGGTCCTCTGTGCTAGGCTGGATATTAGGAAAAGTTTCTTCTCCAAAATAATGGTGAGGCATTGGAATAGGATGCACAGGGAGGTGGCGGGGTTGTCACTGTCCTTAGAGGTGTTCAAGAACTGTCTGGATGTGGCACCGATGGACATGGTTAGTAGGCATGGTGGGAGTGGGCTGATGGTTGGACTTGATGATCTGAGAGATCTTTTCCAAGCTTAATGATTCTGTGATTCTGTATCTCTTGTGACTAGGGCAGGAAATCTCTGAGACTGGAAAATCCATTGCAAAATCTGCATCAGAAACTGGTGGTGGAGGTGGGTGGGCCAGCTCTGGCCAACATCTGGCCTGAGGTTTCAGCAGCAGGTTTTAAGGAGGCAGTTTTTGTTCTGAAAGGGAGCAGGAGAGCATGCTCAAATTGCAACCTTGTGGCTAAGTCATTTTTTTTCCACCAGAAATATGTCTGAAAAATGCATCTAATGTTTCCCATTAAGGCAGCCACTAACATAGAGGCAGGCTCCCCGCCTGAGCCAGTACTTGCTGACAAGATCTGCATGCACCACATGAGGGAATGTATAGCTCGCATGGCTTTCAGACCACCCTAAGTGATTTGCCATAGCTCTTGTAATGATGCAGAGCCAAACACGTCCATACCTCATGTCATAGAAGGCAGAAGGATCCGACTTCAAACTCCTTGGCTGAAATAAAAGGGAGTCAGCAAGCCCAGGGCTGTGCTTCCGGGCATTGGACTGCCCTCCTGAGAACCAAGTGCTGAAAGGGACTATTGCATTCTGACGGGGCTGTGAAGTCAAACGTCTTTCACTCGCCCACCCATTCACTTGCACAAGCAGTGTAACAGCAGAATAAAAACCCATACCTACAGAAGAGATTATACAATCCTCCACTTTCAGATGCCCTGGCTCCCAAGGTTGCTTTTCACTTTTGGAACAGGGCCTTATTCTAATTTGCAAAGGATTTGGATGTTAACTCTCAGATTGCTTGTGATACAGTCAGCAGGTAACTGTTCTGACTGGGCAGAAAACAAGCTGGGGTGTTTTTGTCTTAAATGCATGAATTTTCACTTAAATGCACAGATTTTTACTTGTGTTCCATTGCTCTCACTCCAGTATTTATCACTTTCTTAAACCTGTCTCTCCAAGACACCATCAGCTCTGTGTAGAAAAACAGAAAGCTACAGTGAAGGAGCCAGACATGGAGAAGTCTCTTTTCTTCTGCATAGTTTGTGAATATTGCTTCAGAAAGAAAATGTATTACAACAAATTTGTATCAACATCCAAGCTCACACAGTGAACCAGCTAAGAATCTATTAACTTAGTTTCAAGTATGTGGCCAAATATTTATAGGACAGTCTAGATTTCCATGCGAACTTTCACAAATTTAGACAGCTGCCTCCAGTGCTGTTGAAAGCACATACAACCAGTACATCTGAAAATCAATACATTCCATTGGGTTGAGTAACTCGGTTGGTCACATACTGCAACCACTACCTTTCTCTCAGTTTTAAGTTCGCTCCAGAGCATTTTCTATGCAGTTATCATTGTTACTATGCAGATTGCCATTGTTTGGAAAAAAAATGGATATTTTAACCATCATGATCCTTGTTATTTTTTTTTCCTGTAGTTTGAGCTTCATCTTTATCGCAGCTTGATTTTCATTCCAGAATTGCTCAGTAGGTCTAAATCTAGAGAAAATAGAGCCCTGGCTGTCTTAGTGATCCTGGACAGTAGAGAATACAAAGCTCTTTGAGGGCCATCTGTTTTGCTGCAAGAAAGGCTTTCAGAAACAAATCCAGATAGTTGATTCATTATAAAATAGTCATAAGTTATGAAGATATTTATAGAAACAAATCCATTGAAGACCTCTTAAGTTCCTGGCTGTTATTACTGCTATTTTTTAAGTCAGCACTGACTATCAACATCACATGAATAATGCAGTGCAAGAGACAAATGCAAAATAGCAATAGCTGCAGAGATCAGAGCCTTACTACTGGTAGCATTTAGACCATATAATATGATTGTAATTGCTCTTCTGGAGGCATGGTTGTTGTGGGATCAAACTCTGACTGTGGGTGGGGGAAGATGTCCCCAAGCAAGAAGTCACTGTCTCCTGAGCCATGTGTGCCTCTGAAGATGCAGCCAAGCTGTGTGCAACTGTGTGCAGACTCTGGCTTGTGGGGCATACTTTGGCCCAGACAGAAGAGGAACTGAGGGGAGTGAGATGCAAACATTTTTCTCTAAATTAAATCTATGATGAACATCAGGTCTTAGCTTAAATAAATATCCTTCTAAGGATGCCTGGACCAGGGACCTATGTCCTAAGTGCATATTCAGGGACGGATTTTCATCCATCCATTCCCTTCACAGAATAGCAGGCTGAAATTCATGTGGCTGCAACAAGAGGCTTGTTAATGTAGCCACACAGCAGGCCTGGAAATAAATTCCAAATCAAACAAAATTTTATGCAACTTTATATTTTTAAAAGCATCTTAAAGCAATCTGTAGCCAAGCAGCAATAAAGATGTTTAATCATTGTAGTCTGTGCTATGCTGAAACTAAATACAATCCTATTTCGTAAAAGACTGTGTTCACTCAGGGGCATCAGTTTCAGTCTGCTTGAGAGGCGTGTGTGCCCCATTCAAATATCTCTCCCAGTAACAAATCCATCAACAGGTTTTATCAAAATTGAAAACAAAATGAGATCGGACTGTTGAACTCCTGAACAAAACAGGGCTGGACACCAGAAAGATGAGCAGCATGAGTCTTCCTCCACACAAAAGCTCCTGGTGAAGTCTACATGAAAAGGGCATCACAGCTGTTGGAGCAGAAGTCATGGCAGTGACAGCCCAAGAGACTCCTGGCATCCAAGTCCGACTTCCTCAGATGTTCATTGCCAGGTTGATGAACTAATATTGAAAGAAAGATCAAATTTACAGTAAATAATTTCAGGCCCTTCACCTGCCTCCCCAAATGAAAGAGCAAAGTTCAAAAGCACTGCCTTGCTCTGATTTGACCTCACACAGGGAAGGGGATCATTGTTCACTGGCTTTTATGTCCTGTTCCTACATGGAGACTATAGCTAGTATGCAAGCAGGACTTTCCAGCATTTACTTCTGCTCTTAGAGAGAAGAGGGTAGAGCTCTTTGAGCACTGAATGCCAGCATGTTTATTTCCTTCACCACAGCCCAAATGAGCTTTCATATTTGCTGTGCCAGGGAACTCAATGTGCACTGCCCCAGGAAACTTCGGGTAAGTGTAAAATCAGAGACAGACCACGTGTGCAACAGGAAGACAAACAGAGCACAAAGAAAACAACAAGCCTATGCTGAGAAGCTGAGGATGCACATTAACTGAGATGCTGATTTCAACTCCTGAGGGAGTTGAAAGAGTCCCGTCTCAGTTTGCTGCCTCTCCTTTCCCCCACCATGAGCTGGCACCCAAGGAAGGTAAAAGCAGAAAAGCCAGAAGGGGGGATGGGAAGCTGTCTGTGTGCAATAGGGCAAGGAAGGAAATAGCACCAAGGAGATGTAATCAGTGTATGTGCTGCAAAATCACAGCCCTGATGAAATCTATGGCAGACAGTCCTGTGCTCTCATGGACACAAATTTCACCTCCAGTTCTTATGTGAAGATCAAATGCTAGAGAAGCTACATCATTTTGCTGGTGTTTATGAAGTTGTGCTCATACCTCGCCAATATTCAGGTTAATGAAATCCTTGTTTTTCACACTCAATGCTTGGAATACTCCTGAAATGAAAAACAGGACACCGGAGCTATAAATATGCTTCATTCATATTCATGCATGAGCTCTCCATCCCACAACGGGTGGCTGTGTCTAGGACAGGGGGGGCCTGCACAAAGGCTGGATGCTTAGGGCTGCTGAGTGGTGGTGGCTGCTCTGAAAAATGAATTTCTTGGAAGGGGAAAAGTCTTGCTGATTTCAGGCCTCTGTACAAGCCTCATCTCAGGAATCAAAAGGAAATGAATGCCTAAGCACTCAGATTTGGATAATCAGAAATGTAGCCAAGCAATTTGCATTTCTTTCTTCATCTAATTTTTCTCTCAGTACTTTATACTTCTCACAGAATCACAGAATGGCCAAGTTGGAAGGGACCTCAAGGATCATGAATCTCTAATCCCCCTCCCACATGCAGGGCCACCAACCTCCCCATTTAATACTAGACCAGGCTGACCAGGGTCCCATCCAATCTGGCCTTGAACACCTCTAGGGATGGGGCATAAATAGCCCCTCTGGTGAGCCTGTTCCAGCACTTCACCACTTCTATTGCCACAGACATAACCAGGAAGTAAAGGGAAAAAAAACCAAGAAATATTACTCAGGAAAGTTCATTGTGATTCTCATTGAGTTGAGATGCGTTGTGTTTGAGTTGAGTTTGGAGCCACACTGATGATCACTTCAGTATTTATCCAGCCATTTTATTTATCTCTACTGCTTCTGTTCCAGAACAAATGAGACACTGCATGCGAATGAATTAAGACCTAAGGTGCCTTGATGAGCAGAGAACAGTATCTTCAGCCAATTCAAAAGAAACTGGAGGGAAGTGGTGACAGTGAGTTTTAGTACTGGGGAGAATAGGGGTTGGACCCAACAGGACACACAACTGCTCCATATTTTTATGAGTGAGATGTGGCTAAAAACTGGCTGGGCACCACTATTCCAATGGGTGAGACAGGAGAAAAGGACACAACACAGACTTTGCCAGCATTCTTTACATGCCTTCTGCATTGCTGTGGAGTTTATGAAGCTGGCTCTATTCATGTGGGGAAATTTTCCATCAGCAGCAAAGCATTTTTCTCTTTACAGGAGAAAAGCTATTCTAAAAACAAATGCTAAACAGAGCTATTTTATGTTAGCCATTGAATATACACACTTTACCTCAGATATTATGCAATATGCTTGATGGCAACCAAAAGTGGGTTTTTTTTTCAAAGGGAAAGAAATTCCAGAGGAAGAAGATACTCACGACTTGCATTCTCTAAGCGAATTAGGCAGTTTAGAAAATCATCAAAATCAATCTGGAACTGCTCATCAGAGTATCGGAGGACGATCAGCTGCAGCAGGTAGTTGTTGAGTTGATAACCTTCCCAAACACATACACAAAGGAAAAAATGAGCAGCCTCATAGAACAGGTAAGAATCTGCAAATCTGTACTAACTAATGTTGAAAACCAGTTAATGGGAGGATTGCAATGGCACACATCCACCCATGAGGTGATGTGATTGTGAAGTGAATAACTACCTCTGAACAACAAATTTTGCAGTTACTGGATATGACAGACCACTCTGTCTCTCTGAAAATTGAAGAGATTTCTGCAAAGCTATGTGCTTTAATGATAAAAATACTTTATGATGTTATGCAAACCCACTGATTGCTCTTCATAACAAACAGCTTACTCACTGCTCCTACACACCTGAGGTGGAGATGGGCTCTGAAGTGTTTTCCTTTAGGGTTTAACCCTGCAGTGTTGAGTTTCACAGAGCTCAACAAAAATGTAAACATTTACCTGACAAGCAAGAGGATGGAGCATGCTACTGGCCCATTACTGGCTGCTTCCAGCCCCAGCTTGGCCATGCTGCTTCAAACCCTTGTGGGCACAAGGAAAGCTACGGTTGGCCAAGCAATGGCTCTAACTAAAGGGAAGTCTGATCTTACCTACATCTCTGTACACATTTCAGAAGAGGCTGCAGGGTTGTCACAAAGGAGCATGCAGGTTTTCACTTAGATGCTGAAAGTCCATTCATTTCCCTTCTCATACCTACAGTCTTCTCTGGGACTTAGTGCTTCTTGCAGTTACAGGGTGCCCAGCTGGCATCATTGGTTGCAACCACCTTTGCCTACAGGAAATTTGCCTGACTTGTCTTAGCTGTAGTGCTCATAGTGCTTGTCTTACCTGCAGCTTTGAGAGCACTGCGAAGCTCATAGGAGGACATGGAGCCAGATTTATCAAAGTCAAATCGAAGAAAGATATTCTGTTACGCAAGGAGCAGATGGAAAGTTCAGTATTTCCACTCGAAAGGAAGAGCAGAAATGGCATACAAAGGCAAGGTGTTTATCTCTGTGTGGCATAAGCACTCAAGAAAGTGGACAAGACTTTAGACTAGAACTAGTTTGATCTGCAGTAACTGAGAAGAACATCTGGGACCCAATTCTCTGTCATATGGGTAGGCTGTTGTGAAACTTAAGTACTGCCAAACCCAAGCATTCAGAAATAATGAAGTGCTCTTCATAAAAAGAATTCTGTGATTTTTAAGAAGTAATTTTATCTGAGAAGGATGTATTTTTATTTGTCTTCTAACTTCCTTTCTCCTAAGGCAGAATCCTGAATCTCTTTTCATGTTTTTCTCTATAATATCGAAGGTAGAAACTAATTGTTTAACAAGAAATTGAGATTATCCCTTACTCATTTGCTTGTGGATATAAAGGTTCTAAATACTCATGGTGCACCTGGTGCAACTCATTTTAATTTTGACCTAACTATTAAATGGTGAAGTTGGAGTTCAAATCCATCCCTTTAATGAGATGACAAACACAAATCTCCCTTAGAATATGAGTTAAATAGAGATATTTTCACGTTCAGTTTGAAATTTGCTATCAGATGTATGTGCAATCTTCTTACCAAAGACAAGAATTTCTCAAGCTTCCTTATTAAAAAACAATGCATCTTTTGATAAAAGAGGTATGACATAAGGACCCAGAATAAGCGTTTGCCATTTCTGATGGCGCAGACAAGAAGCAGAGAGCTGCATATTTTGAATGCTTGGGTGAAATATGAATTCAGAAAAAAACTATTAATGACCATGAGGAAGCAATTATGATGCCTTTATTTGAATATTCATTCTGTGCCCTGATTCTGAAAGTCTGCTTCTTTTTACTGCCATATACAATGGCAGGGAAATGTGTTTAAAATTGGAATCAACTTTCTCAGACTTCAGTACTTTTGACTACTGAGAGATCGATAATGGAAATGCAGTGACTTATGAGATGATTGTTTTCTACTAGAGATGAATCATCATTTTCTTCTTCTGTACATCAGTAATGGAAACTCCTTAATTTTCATTTTGATTGGACTCCTTGGTAGCGCCCACTACATTCTTTGTCCCAAACACACTTGATTTCCTTATAAAAATCTCTGTTATTTCCAGAAAACCATTAAGGTTTAGCATCATGGAAAGCCAAGGATATCTTTGATGATCCAAAACAAGCAGTATACTTTTAAAACATTTGTTTTGAGTTTAAATTTCTGGCTTATAAACACTCCTGTCTCTATTTTTGTCTGCATATGCATAATAAGCTAGGCATGAAATAGCTACTAACATGGAGAAACAAATACAATGCATAATGTCACCTACTATCCATTTCTTCAGTTTTTCCCAGAAAACTTTGAACTCACTGAATTCCAGTTTCCCGTTGCCACTGGTCTAATAATCTGGATCAAGGAAAATGACACATTGCATGCAGGTGCAAATTCCAGCTGAATTTACTATTTCTTTAAACATATAACATTACATTGTCTGGTGCCACTGAACAAGATGCAGGATTTATCATGAGGTGCAGCTCAAGCAGTTACAATCATGGCTGTGGCTGTGATACTTAGGGAACATAATGTGATAGAAAAACACAGCTGAACAATGCAGGCTCCACAGGATAAGAAGAACAGATTGTTCTGAGGCAAGAACAGCTTTGGATGTAAATGTGATCTAAATGATTCAGAGAATGAAATTACCTGATTAAAACAAATTGCTACTGTAGTTGAAGCAGTTAGTCAACCAATGTGTTATTCAGTATTGTTATCTAGAGATGATGCTCTACTGCAGTGACTCCATCAAAGATTAAATGAGAGTTGTGAGACGAGGCTGGCAAAATCTGGTCTGAAATAATAGTTTGTAAAGTAGTGCTGAGAGATGGTGACAAGATGTACCTGAACTTCACTGTTTCTGAAATGTGAGGGTCTTCTTAATGTTTACTGTACTGAGTTACTGACGGTCACCTCACTTGTATTCCTCTTCCCCTTCCCATCTTACTTTTCAAGATAAAAGTAAGATAAAGCCCTTGCTTACATGGACACTAGCTCAGCAAGCATTCACAATGGCTAATGTGTGCCAAGCAGGGCCTAGCTCGCCCTTATTTAAATAGCATGCTTTTGTTTAAGCATCTGTACTGGTTATATTACTGAGGGCACCCACGGGTTCCATGGACACTGTCATTCCTATGAAAAGTCTGTCTTTGTAGCCAGCCAGGTTCTTCCTGGTGTCACGTTAAGACTTTGCTCCCGTCCCCACTGCTGCATGGTGATTACAATCAGGGAATTTGGTGGCATATGACATGGAATGGACTTGCAAGCATCAACTCAAGCTTACATTTGAGGCCTTATGCTCCTCCATTTTACTTTAAATTCCATGACCAGAATGAGATGGTTGTGCCTGCATTCCTCATGCTTCCAAAGCAGATGAAGAGATATCTCCCCATTAATTCAAAACTATGTAGAGATTTTCTTGGAAGCACTGCAAAACATGGAAACTATTTGGTTACAACCTAAATAGTAGGAGCTGCATGCGCCAGTGTCAAGTGTAGACTCTTGTTCTGCTCTAACACCGTGTAAGGATGAGAGGTGAACATGGACTGCTCCCTACTGAAGCTTGGTTTCTAAGGGTGGAGATTTAGGATGGATCCGCTGTTTCTCATTGCATGTGCATAGAGACAGATCTCCACCAAATTTTAATGTTATGGACATAGCTTTTACAGGATACAGTTTTATTTGTTTTGGTTTTGTATTAGAAGTCTTTGAGAACATGCTACTGCCATCATGGACTTGAACAACTGAAGAAAAATGTAAGAATTTACTAGTTGAACAAGCAGGACAAAACTCACATATTAGATAGTTGTCTTGTCAGAACTGTATCTGCTTTGTCTCTTGTATCTGTCAGAAAAGCGTACCACCAAAAACAGGTCTACCTGAAGAGAAGCCATATTTAATTCAACAGATAGCAAAACATTGCAAAGGATGAACCCAGGGGAGAACAGCCAGGGCTGTGATTCATCAAATCTAATATCTGTGCCATCATTTAGCATTTCTCACATTCAAGCACATCCAGAGCAAGCATAATTATACCATTCTTTTCACTGTCTATAGGATAAGTCTAGAAAGCTAGCGTAGATGTAGACATTTCCATCACAAATGCCTAAATTTGGACAGAAAAATCTTACCCACAAGTCTGCTTCCTGGAGTTCCAGAGTCCAGCTGAATGACCAGATTTACCAGCTTTTCAACTGGCTGTCAAAAAACCCACTGCCTTGATGTCAGTAATTTTTACCAATCTGCTGATTCCTAATTTTTGACCCATAATTTCCATGCACACCTCTGTCTTGTGAATTCCACTCTCCAGACAGCAGACTAGAGTAATACTTCAGTATCTTTTCCAGATCTTTTTTGAATAATCTGCATCTTGAAAAATCCACTGTTCTGTATGTAAATAATTTGAGATTTACTTGCACAGGTGCTTGGCTTGAAGCATTTCCCTCTGAATTGTGCAGCAGAAAATGGTCTGTCTCGAAACTCCTAATCCTGAATTTCTAAAGCAAAAATCAGGATACAACTTTCACTTTTTTTTTTCTTTTCCTTTCCAGTGGACAGCGTTCTCAACATGACATTGCCACACTAATTTCTAATATCCATGACAGACCCTGCTATGAACAATTATATTCAGTATTTGTTCAGCTCCATGAGCACTTATTTAAAAGGATACATCCATAAGAGAAATGATGTTTCGGCATGAAATGAGACTTAACTTCTTGAATTTGATGTTCTTTGCTGAAAAAGGACAATAATAAAAAAGAAATCATTGGGCAAATCTGCCTTTTATAATTCCATAATAGAAAACAGAATTTCATAAGCACTGATAGCTGGTTCTTAGGCCTCATGTGGAAGGACTTGTGCACTGGAACATGAAGACAGCCCACACTGTATGGAAATCACAATCCAGACAGAGGAGGTATGAACTGAAGACATAAAAGAAAATATTCTCTTTGTTTCTTGTTATACAAAGGGCCTGTGGCAGTGCCATGAACTATGTCCAGGTCTTACTAGTCCCGCTCCCAGTCTCTCTAGAGCAGAGCAGTAGTGCAGTGTAGAACTAGCCTCATTGAAGTGACATGGGTCATGCTGGAGGCAAGGCAATCAAGTGCTTAGAACACAGACTAGATGTTTTTCCAGCTCTGCCCTGGCTGGAGGACACCATGCAAGATTAGTAACACAGCCTTTATTTTTCCATCTGTAAGGGAGCTTAAGGGCAGCTTTTATAAAGTTCCTTATGGCTCTTAACTGCATGCCACCGAGCAACAACAGAGATTGTCAGTACTTACTGTTTTTTAATACTTTATTTAGAACATATTCAAGTTCTTCTGCAGCTACTTCCATGTCCTGAAGTTTAAAAAAGAAAAAGAAAAAAAGACAAAAAAAAAAGAAAGAAAGAAGCATCTGGTGCTTGAGCGTTTCTAGAATAAGATATATAAAAAACCTCAGAATATATCATCCCATTCACATGCACTTTATTGCACCTCAGGAAAAGAGAATCATGCAAAACCCAGAAAAGGCTAAAAATCAAAGAGTTAGCAAAATACAGAAGTGCTACTGTGCATGAGGCTGTCTGTAAACAATCTCAAGATGGAACCATTGATTCAAAGAGAAAGAAAAATGCAGCTGGACACTGAACCATATAGGCTCCCTCTGGACTTGAGTTCTAGTTCTGAACCTCCTGTTTGCTCAGTAGGAACCGTGTCCTTCTCTATCTAAGTATAAGGCATGGTGACATCTGGTGCCTAAATGACACACTACAGCTAAGCACACTGCCCCCAAAACGCAGTTTTTGCCTCACTTGGCCCTGGGAGGAGCAGAACTCTCTCCTCCTTTCTACGTGTTGTCATGACACACAAAGATTTTGCACTCACCTTTCCTGAGATCTGCTCAAATAGTGCCCGAAACTGTTTTTCTTCCTCCGTTTCTTGTGGACTTGGGGTTGGGTTTGGAGGCTGCAGTATCAATCACAACAAGAAACTGTATGAGAAACACGGTGTTTCTCCTGCACACAGTCCCTCTTTGCATCAGGGGGACCATAGTATATCTTACAAAAGGGTACGTGCTCTTGAGCATTGTTTGCTTTGACAGCAAACCTCAGGCCTTCCTAGCATCTAGCTTTCTGAGGGGAGTCTCATCCCTCATTTCCTTTTCCCGGATGATTACATAGTGTGCTATTGCTTTGGCTACTTCAAAGCCACAACCATCTGTACTGGAAAGTGCCTCTTGTCTCATCCCACCCCTGCACCACTCTGCTTTCACAGTCCTTGAACTACCTCGTTCAAGGAAGCTCTTTCCAGAAGCATCATCCAGGGACTTCTGGCCCCTCTCCATGGCAGCAGCTAGAGGAGGCTGCATCTCAGCACTTTACCCAGGGCCATTGCATGCCTATAAGCATTTTCAGTCAACTGAGAGCCTCAGTATCATTGCAGGGTGTAGAGCTCAGGATTCAGTCTGCCAATGAGACATGCAGCAGTGTCGGGCCATTGCTATAGCTGTGGTGACCATGCAAACAGAGAGCAGTTCTTGTGCCAAACACTGGGGAAAAGGAAGGCAATCAACAGCATAGCAAACAATGAAAATAATTGAGCTTTGCTTTGTCTACGCAAAGAAGATAAAATATAGGTGATATTTAGCATGTTGTCACCCTCTCAACACTGCTTGGTCACTTACATCTATTTTTTTTTTACCAAATGCCTGTTCCTCACTTTGTACTGCTCAGGTTTGGCTGTGTTCCTTTAATGATACTAGACAGATTTAGTTTGACAATGAACATGGCCCTGAGATCCTAGAAATGAAGGGGTACACTTGCTAGTTGGTCTCTGGAGAAGGTTTCTAAGAAAGAGATTCACATGGAATCATGGCTTAGCCTGTCTGCATAGGGATTCACACCACAGTCAGCAGATTAGTTGCAGGGAAACGCTAAAACAGGAGCTGACCTGGATTCAGCTGCAATTGGTGCTCAGCAGGCAGGTCAGGCCATTCAGGAATAAAAAGAATTTAATCGCTCCACTGGGCACACGCGTGTACCAAGCCTTTCCTTCCAAGCCCTGTGGATACTGGTAGGTTTGTATTCAAAACAAACGTAGGTCTGTGGAAATTCTATTGCCTCTTATTTTTTCCACAATAAACAGAATTTGAACAGATACGAAAGGCCACGTGCAACCCCATGCTAACTAAATTTGCACTTTCAGTGCATCTGTGGTAGCTGATAGCAGCCTCTGGTCTATCTGACTCTGCCTTGAAGCAGCTGCAGAAGTATAACAACTGTGATTTTGATTGTTATAGCTCTTTTACCATATTCAGCAGAACTGAATGCTTCAGTCACTCACACAAAGCTGGCAATTGTGGAACATTCCTGGGAAATGAACGTCTTTTAGCCAAAGACAGTAAAAGCAGTGTGAGCTGGCTTACACTGAGCTATCCTCTTGCTATTTTAACTCTGTAGACTTACCTCGGGGAGATCAATGGCAACATTTTCATCCAGATCCCTGGGGAAAACAAAACCTTATTCAGTATATGAAGATGCTCAATGTCTGCTTGGGGTGGAAAGGGCACGAGCTTGCTCATTACATTTTCCAGAGGTGAAAGATAAAACTGCATTTTTTTCTTACTGAACTACTTATGTTTAGACAAAATTAATCAGAGAGATTTTTGCAAATTCAAATTTTGGCATGAGCCGTTATAACAGATTTTAAGCAGGACCCAGGAAGGGCATTGCCTCTGTGCATGCTGTCTGCAAAAGAATTAATCTTATTAATTGTGTACTTTTTTTCCTCAGTTTTTTTTTTCATACAGAATTGTCATGTGGGCAGACTTTGTGAGGAAACAAAGAGGAACCAAACACTATTGCAGCCATATATTACTGAACAGCAGCAGGCAGCTAGCAGTTTTTCCTTTCAAGCTTCCATTGGATTCACCATGACAAGCCATATTTCTCCACCTCCTACACTCCTCTCCAAAATAGCAAGATTTAGCAAAAATGGGCAAATGCATCTGCAGATGGATTTTTCCCAACCACTTTGAAAGCAACCAAGCAGATGAGCCTTGACCAAGTTCAGCTTCACATTGGAGGGCATGCTGCAGGCCAAAAGCCCATTTTCAAACCTTTCCTTATTCTCCTTACTAAGCAAATAAAAATTGCAGAGATGCAAAAAGTCCTCAGGAGCACCCAGCATCCAGACTCTTCCCAGGAGTTGGCAGCCCCATGCAGAGGAAAGCACCAAAAGGGCTGGTGCTTTCTGCTGACTTACTCAGTGATGGCCTTCTTCTCTGAAAAGATTCTCAGGCAGAAATCTGCCTCCTGGTGTGGCTCAAATGTGGTTGGAACAAGGATATAGTCACCTGGTGGCAGCTTGAATCTGTCAGACACTTCCCTTAAATTGATGTAGGTTTTGCTCCTGGCCTTGGATGCATGGTACCTGAAGAAGTCTTTGCTCAAGTGTTCATCTCCACCAGGGCTCTACAGGGGATTCAAGGCAGCACTGCATTGGCTGTGGTATACTGAAGGCTACCCCCACCCTCTTCCCAGTCATGCACCAAACTCTGCGTGACACAATGCAACCCTGACTGTCACCCCCTTGCCCAAGCACTCACAGAACCTAGCTCATGGTTTTTGACAAGGACCTGTCTTCTCCCACCCAGAAGACAGTCTAAGGGGACACTAGGACACTGCCTTCCTGCATAAACATTTCCTGTTATTAAAAATCACAATCCCAGGTGAGGTGTCACAGAGTAATGAGACTTCACGGTCCTCTTCTGGATGGAGAACATGCCTCAAAAGATTTTCTAATCCAAACTTCACACAAGGACAGGAACCATTGTGCATGATGAGCCCCAAGAAGTTCACAAGAAGCAACATCCCCTCTCTGAGAGCCAGGCAGGAGGATGACACAGTTACAGGGCTGAGTTTACCCTTGATACCCATGGGACTCCTAAATCCTCCTTTGTAAGGACTCCATCCTAACCAAATCAAAGTTCTCCATGGGGTTTGATGTAACCAAGAGGAGTATTTTAGGAGAAAAGGCCCTAAAAATATCTGATGATTGGCAGGATTACAAATGTGGAGAAAGATGCTAATATTGATGGTGTGGCTACTGCACTGTAAAAGCAATAGAGCACCTCATAAATGGAGTAGCCGATGCTTAGCATTTCAGCACCAAGCTTCCTGAGTTTACGGCGATCCTTTTGCATCAGTGCTGCTATGAACGTGCAGTCATCTTGACCATCATCTTTCTCTGTCAAATGCAGCTTGATTTGTGGATTTGTCCAGAAAGTGTCTGCCAACGTAAAGAACACCAGAACATTTCTCGCCTCAGAATAATACCACAACCACAAAAAAAAAGAAAAAAAAAAAAAAAAAAAAAAAAAAAAAAGAAAAGAAAACAAAGAGGACAATTAAGCTGAGGTTTTGCTCAAAATTATTTTTTTCCATTAGTTGTCGTGCTTCTTTCCACTCAGCTCTGCAGAAAATTAGCCAAATCCTGAAGTCCTTCATGGAGGTGTACAAAAGATTTTAGGGCTGATATTTTATTAAGTTACCATGGTTTAAATAAAGCTGTCAGCTGGGATTTTGTTCACATAGTTACAATGATTCCATAGTACTGCTGCCAATATGGAGTAACACAGTTCAGATCCACAATGCTACTTCAGAGCCACATAAACATGCCGGCTGAGCTGGATTTTTGTCTCATTTTACACTTACTGATGCATTTTAAGTGACTTATTTAGAGCTAGTACAGCTTGTACAAATGTAAGTGAGAGACAAATCAGATCCAACAAACTTGAGAGCAAAGAAAGCAGTTCCTTTACCCCAAGTCTCAAGTAGGACTGTATTTATACCTTTGGCTGGCTTCTACTAGCTGAGACTCAGCTGGCCTGTCCTATTTCCACAGTTGTAGCTCTAGGGTAACAGGAGAGGTGTCTGAGAGAGGTTAAGGGCTTCTGTGCCTGTTTTTCATTTTCAAAGCAGTGTCTACTTGCCTAGAAAATTTCTGCATCCTCCTGCAGTGGATCCCCGGACCCAGCTCCCCTCGTGGATGGTCACCTCCCACTTGTGGGCAGTGCTGTCTTCCAGGGCATCAGGAGTCAGGTTGCAGATCTCAACTTTATCAAAATGCACTTTGAAGTCTTCAAATTTCATCCTGAGTGAAAGACATGGGAATTAATGGACAACTATTCACTTCAGTGAAGGATGCCCAGACATGAACTTACACACGAGGGTCCCAGGGCCAGACTATCAGCTCACATGGATTTGAATAGCTCCAGTGGAGATAAGCTGGATGCCCAGAGAGGAAGAAGATAGTTCTGTGGTGTGAAACACAAACAACCCTATTGTCATAGTCTGATTTTGACATTTCTTACACCTTTCTTTTTACACTGTTACTCCACCAATTTTATTCACTTACAGTTGAGTGTAAGATACAGTGAAGAGACACTGGCATAAAACCTACTGTGGAAAGAAATACTTAATCAACTCTGTTCCCTGGACTTCCAGACCCTAATCCTGTGTTGCATTCATACTGACAGAGAACCAACCAAAGGATGGCAGGCATCCATATAGGAGCCAAGTTTGCCTACAGATCATCTATGCATTCAACACCAGCCACATAGCAGCACTGCAAGTGATGGATTAGCCAGGCTGTGGTACAGCTAGCCACACTGTCCACACTGCAGTTAAAATAATGTCTGGGCCTCTAGTAAGGTTCTCACTTTTTCCTCTATTATGGATGCCTGGGACTTTGCACCAAGCAGAGGGGCAAAAAGTATATTTGGACTTGAGTAAAGACACCAGCCAGCCCTTGAAGGTGATACAGATACTGCTGGAGTGTCACACAGATTGTAGTATATGCATTTTAAACCCAAGGTGAATACATACACATGATCACTGAAAGAGAAAAGTTACAGCCAAAATACAGTCACTTTTGAGTTTCTATGTTGGATTGGTCAAACCTAACCTACTCAGCATGCTAAGAAGCAGATAATTCATGGGATTTTAGCTAGCAAGTAAATTGGAAAAGAAATGACAAAGTTTCTGGCTGGGGAGCTGAATATTCAGGGCTGAGCAAATAGCCAAGAAAAGGGACAGCTGGAGGCAGGCATAGTGCATAGTGTGCAGTCCTGGGCAAAAGGACTGAGGAGAGAAACTGCTCTCTCCTGACACAAATTTCTGTAGCTATCCTTTTTCTCCTGTGATAATGCATAACAGCAAAAATGGAATAGAAGGAAAGTAAAAGCTCTTCAAGATCATATGTATATCTGTGCTAGTGGCAGATAGGACGCAGCTAGCAATCAGTGCAGCTCACTGAATAGATCATATTCCATTTTTCTGCTGTATAAGAAGTGGGTGTCTATGGTGTTAATAATTTACACCTGCTATGGACCATTTTACAACATTTTTTTCAGTGAGGGATGAAACAGTAGAACTTGCGTTCCTGGGATTTTTCCTCTTTCTTGTCAGCTCATATATATTGCTAGCCTTGCATGCCACAGGTTCTGTTGATTCTTACTATGATGCTCAATACACTATAGCAGGAGCAGTATAGAAAAATCTCTACCTCTAATTTCCTGGCCATTCTAGGCAATCTGGGGCTCTCTGGAAGCATGCTGCAAAGTAGATGAAGAAATTGCACTCTATGGATCAGAATTGGCTATTTTGACTTCTGTAGGGCTGTCCTATATTTCCACTCGTGAAGGCAAGAGAAGACTTCAACCCACTGATTTTAGAAGGGAAGAGACTAAGGCAAGTTAGAAGCTGATTTCTTAGTCAACAGTAGGATATCTTTTTCCTATCTGGTAGAATCATCATTTCATCTGCCCTGACAAGACAGATCTTTACTGCTAAAATACTGACAAAATACCTTTGGGACAGTTAATGAGGTAAGCAGGCCCCAAGCATGTTACCATGAAGATTTTCTTCAGCCCAAAGAACAGAAAGTTCAAAAGGACTTATGAGATGACTTTGCCCACCTTGGCTGCCTTATCCTGTGTACTACTTCCATAACTGCACTGCCTTTTTAAACTGAGTGAAGCCACTGTGATGAAACAACACTTATTTTCCTTTAAATGTCCTGTAGCTTTTGGTCAATTTTCCCTTCCTAACCTTCCTGTTCTGCCTAGTGTGAAACCAAACGCAATACATGAGAACAAACAGGAGTATTTCCTCTTCTGCTTCTCTTGTTTCATTTTAACAAAAATGAGTCTGTGCATGAGAAATGACCATTGCTTTGCGTGCAGTCAGCACAAAAAATAAGCTGGTCCAAAACGTGGAGCACAATTACACAAGCTATTCAGGAATGCACAGTAGGTTTCTTGGACTTCCTGTCAGTTTGCAGACACATTGAGAAATAACATACAAAGAGAATACTTGTTGAGCTCCCCGACTGTATTACCTAACATTAGGTCTACTTCAGTAGAAACTGGTTGTCACCAACAAGAAAAGTGCCAGTGCACCTAATGTTATTTGCTAAGTACAATGATAATGTGCGTCACGGAGAACATGTTCTGAACTCTTGAAGAGCTAATTACTTTGCTACTCACTGTTTCTAGCAGCAGGTGTGAAAACACTTCACAAAGATCACTCCAGCTTTCCAGGGAGACAAGCCAAGTCACCACCAGAAGTCCTGGTGAACAGGCTGGCTGAAGGTCCCTAGCTACAGAAGTAATAGTAAAACTCCATCTCATCTAAACTGCATCAACAGTAGGAGCAAACTGGAAGCAGGGGAGAAGCAGCTCTCTTCATCTTGTTCCTCATCTGACCAGTGTCTTTAGGGATATACCACAATCATTAATCATGCAAAGTCTGTATACTTATCCTGATGGGGAAACCATCAAAGTGTGTCTTAGAAAGGGCAAACAGACAAACACTCGTTAGAGAAATACACAAAAGTCAAAAGGTATCAGGACAAATAAGTCTGATGGACTAGGTGGAAAGTTTACTGGTCTCAAACTTGTCTGACTGGTTTTGGAAGAATTTATTATATTTTATGTATGATTTTTGTCCACTTAACCCCTTCATGGAAAATTTCAGTCCCAGCGGCTTTTGTTTCTGCTCTCAGTGTCTGAGATGCTGTATGAAGAAGACAAATGGCCTGGGCATGCTGAATCTCATTCATTTTACTGACCTTCTGAGGATGTACTTAGTTATCAGTAGAAAAATAACTAAAAGTCATCAATATGTAAAAATGCTTAAGTAATGGATCAGTTACTGGTTCTACTTCCATCAGGAACTATCAAAGTGTAGGATAAACGATTTTATGTGACGAAATGCTCTTTGTCATCTTTCTTATATCACTTGTCAGGCCTAAAGTTAACTTGTGGGAAAGATTTGGAATACTGCTGCTGAATACCTTTCTAGATTTACCTCTGTGTAAATAAGCATCTGGACCCAGATAATGTGACCAGACACACTGTCAGTAGAGCATGGCATGGCTGACATGGGGTAGGGTGGGAGAGGGAATCTTGTGCAAGTCAGCCATCTGCTCTGTCTGAGATAGTGAATTTGGCATGAAGAACACTTCACACTTCTAAAGAAATTGCTACCACATTTTTTTCCCCCCTTTCTTTTCATCTTTTCTTAAATCTTTCCATCGTTTCACACATATTCTGGTGTTCTTGTACTTTCTGTAACATAGCATTGCTTCTAAGCGCTCCCTTCTCTACCAGTGTATGACTAACAACAGCCCTGAAGGCATTTCATAGCTAATACAGTGCAGAACAATGCTCCCTTGTGTGCTTGTGTTCCTGTAAAGGTTTAAAGGATATTACAGCCATGGGAGACACATAGTATTTGAAATATGCTAATATCATTAACTAAACTGATATTTAAAACACTTTTTGTTAATAAAATACACATGTACTCACATGAAACATGCAGTACCTGCTCTCTCCTAGGAGGAAACTGAGCATTTGATCACTCACATTTCTTCCTTATCACTCATTTTGATCACTTGTGCCTTGATTTCTGACCGGAGTCACACTCGAACCCTGTGGCTTACCAGAACTCTCCATCATCCAGTGCTGTCTGAGCCAAGCGCTTCTGCTCCGATGGGCTGACCAAACGCCACTCTAGAGAGCTGCAAGAAAATAAGATATACTGTGAATAATAGAATATTCTGAGTTGCAAGGGGATCTACACAGATCACAAATCCAACTCTGTCATCAAGTCCAACTCCAGTAATTGAATACAACTCCAGCAGGGTATATGGCATTTAATTTCTCCTCACTCAGAACAATTGGCTGGACACATCAGCAAGCTGCTGTTCTCCCAGATATTTTTTCTTTGAGCAGCACACACACAAATATGGATGCCTTTAAAAGATTTCCTGAACCCTACTACCATTTCACCTAGTGGCATAGACTCAGCTAACGTATCTGGAAGCAGGACTGGGTCAAAGATCCCCAGACTTCCCCAAGATCACCCTGCCTGAACTATTCTTTGCACTCAGCACTGGGACTGCTGCCAGGCATTGGAGCTAGGTAAAATGTGGTAGTCAGTAAACAACAAGATTTTTGTAAGTCACAGTCCTCCTTAAAATCTATTTTTCATCCGTAGACAGACATTTCAACAAAGTTGACTTAATGGGAACCAAATAGGCTCCTTGCCCTGTACAGAGAGATTTGCTGAAGTAGCTGGGTTGCAGATAAAATCCTTGCCTCCATTTTATTTATCTTTACATCTCCAGCTGCAGCAGATCAAAACCAAACAAAAATCTACTAAAACTTTTATTAAAAACTAGGAAATGCCCTAGTGCATTTCCAATCTGATAGCATGCATAGGGCACCTCTTGTGAGGTTTTCAATTCCAGCAATCATTGCAAAAAGTTAATGCAGACTACTGCATTGACCTGGGAGACACTCTGCCTTAGCAAAGCTTTGCTCTGATATCTTGAGTCCCAGAAATCCTCCAAAGTGCAGAATCAGAGCTCTGCTTTACAGGGACTGCATTTTCAATATATAACCTGAATTGTCAGATGCTTTTCCCAATCTGAACCTCTCTGTTCTTTTGAGATTTCATCACTCATTGTATGTGCGTGCCAATTATCCACATTTTTCATATAAAACAAAGAATTTGAGATTATGCAAAAATATTTCATTGATTTGCATTCAAAGGAATGTTAGAGAGGACTAGAGGTCTCAGCAATTTTGAAGGCCCAGCCAGGTTATGGCTCCTCTCTGTGACATCTGTGTGAACAAGAAAAAACTCAATAGAAGAAAAAGAAATAAAAAGGAAGTGAGATTTATATGTGTAAGAATAAATTGGAAAACTGTTTGTTGGAGGGGAGATGTGTTTTTTTTTTTTTTTTACTGTATGCTTTTTTCTTTTTTGTATTATTTGCACTTCATTTACTTTTAGTAGTAGAAGCAGACTGCTTTTCAGACCAATCCTACTGTGTTTTTGTGTCTTCCCACAGCTCTGAATGGCACCACAAGGAGAGAGTCTCATCTAACTATCTTATCATAGAATCATCATAGAGTCATTTGAGTTTGAAGGGACTTTTAAAGGTCATCTAGTTCAACTCCACTGCAATGAAGAGTGTTTACCTACCAGCCTGACCTTGAACGTCTCCAAGGACTGGACACCCACCACCTCTTTGGTCAACCTGTCCCAGTGCTTTACCAACCTTATCATAAGAAAAAAATTTTTCTTATGTCCAATCTAAATCTCACGTGAAGGTGACCTATTCTAAAATCACTTCAAACCTGTAATTCTGGGGAGTGTCTTAAAATTCACTTATCCTATTTATATTAATGTATGACTTTTGCTAATACTGTGTTTTAGGGGCTAAACAATCTGGACAGTGTCCCATTAATTGAGCAGCCCTGAAAATATTGAAGATGACAGCCAGTGTGACAGTAATATTGTTAAGCATATGCAAATCCTTAATTTAATTATCTGTGAAATTACTGCATCTACAGAAAGCTAGATGTAGAGCAGCAGATTGATTTTTTGCATGGTGAGTGTATATGGTACAGTGCACGCACTTATTACTCCAAGGCCCGTTCCACTCCACTTGTCCCCAGGGGTTCCTTATTCTTATGAGCTGCACTTTCTGGCCCTGATAGCTCACCTGCAGTAGAAGGAAGCAGAGAAAATATTGAGTGTCATTAGCTAGGGAGCAGGACTTCTCCAGCATGCATAGGTTGGACAAGTTGGTGTAACAGGCAGGCTAAAGGTGCACTGCTACAGGAGACGTGGGAGGGAAAGATGGATGGGAATTTGGATAAATCCCCCAGGATAATTCCTTCCATCTCTTAAGGGTAGTAGGCACTCTTCTGTCTTTTGACCAAACTTCTCCTTGCCCTGCACTGCTGACAAAAGCCAGAGGGAACGTACCTCATCAATGCCAGTTACAGAGTAAGCATGGCCCTTTATGAGGCCAAAGGGTGTCCTGGCTTCTGACTCGGCAGCACTGCTGGTCTGAAATATGGAAAACAATGTGAATATATCTCTTTTCATGGTGAGACTGCAAGCAGTGCCACTTGGTCCCTTCCAAGAATCAGATGGAAGACCAGATGTTAAACAGCATTGTAAACAGGCAGTTTGTCTTTCTGCTCCATGCAGGCAGTGATTGTGCAATGGTTCCCTCTGAAAGGGAACTCCTTAGAGCTGTGTGATTTTCTTTTTTGGAGCATTGTGCACTCTGAGGAAAACAAGGTGATTCCAGCCAGGAAATAAAGTTCACTCTTCCCAAGTGCTCATATTAATGTCATTACTGCCTTAAATACCATAGCCATCATCTAATGAAATGTGCTGAATCTTTTTTTCTTTTAAACTTTTAAACTAGGGATTACACTAATATTACATATTTATCATTTCATAGCTATTATTTGCAGAGTCCAGTGCATATCCAGTGCATATTTTTACATACAGAAACGATAAAACTAAGCTGAGAAAATCAGAACCCATTTCTTACTCACATCAATAGAGCAGCCCACCATTGATGATCTTTTCAGAGCTTTCTCTAGGATTTCATAGAAATTGTCAGGAGCTTTTTTAACCTCATACATTTCTCCCACTCCCCCAGTGAAATCTTCCATGGCTTCTATTGTACTGCCTCCTTTCAGAGCCTCATAGCTGCCATTCAGCCTGGAAAACACATTAACGTGAAACATGCTTTCAAAACTTTGAAGATATCCATGTGTGAGAGCTTTCTCACATGAGTATAAAATCACAGCAAGAGCACTCAGCTCAAGAAAAGTGTCCCAGAACGCACCCAGGAGATATGTGAGGTGTATTGGGAACCTCCTACTTTCCTTGTTCTTTCCTTTTTAATTCATTTGATCCTCCATACCTCAAAGCCTGGGGCTTTTCTTTTGTTAGTGCCAGTCATCAGGTTGGCAGGGGCTGATATCTTTGCATTATCAGTGGCTTGCTACCTCCCAAATCAGTTAAAAATCTAGAGTTAGACAGAACCATCATTTGAGTACCAGCAGTGACACAAATGGTAAGATTCAGGCTTTGATCCAGCTCTACTGCTGTAATGTCAGATTGTATCTAACGATCTGATGGAAGATGGATGAGCTCAAAAAGAATAGACATCATATCTTTAGATCAGGGCAGCAGCAAATAATAATAATAAGAAGAAAAACAGGATAGAAGCTATTAGCTTGAATTGTGTATAGTGTATGTACAAATAATGAACTGTGAATGTACAGTGTGGTATACCAGACTTACTTGGCATAGGCTTTCTCTAGTAAAGCACTCCAAAATTCATTGTGTTCAGCTGAATGTACGAATACCAACCGGTCTTTGAAGGTGGGCAATCGATCATCAATCACAACATCCAGCCACTCATTGTGCTGCCAAAACTATTTAGAAAGGATGGAACGTGAATTTGTTGCCAGCATGTCATTTCTTGAGCATAAGAATTTGGTGTTCCAGTGCTTCTAAGTGTAAGTTAGTGCCAATCAAAGGCTTTCTCAGAAGTCAAAGATAAACCATCTACTCCTACTAAGCCATGCTATGTTGGTCTGGAGGAAGGACACAGTTCAACTCTTGATTCATCTTTAACGCCTTATATCCTAAGAGAGATGAGGGGGGAAAGCGAGAAATATAAAGCCATATTTCTCTTCACAGAGACTGGCTGTGTATATTTCTGTAAGAGGCTGTTCTTCAAAATGCAGACAGCAGAGTGAGTTCAGCAATCTCACTTTTTGTCAAGTTTCCTCTGGAATAAGTGACAGCCCCACCACAAAGCAAACCACAACATGCAACAATCAACTGACCAGAAATGTTGTCACGCTGTGCCAGATGTTCATCTTACCTGGAAGTGAAATATCCCAGCATAACCTGGCCCAAAATTTTGATCCAATGGCACTACTCTTGCTAGTGTTTTCTCATTCAGCGTTAGAGAAGCTATGGCTGCTAATAGCCAGCAGTCACCTGTGAATTGAGAAGAGGGAAGAAAAAGCTTCATTTTCTTCCATTTGAGAGGAAAAGAAGGTGTTGTGGGGATGAGGGGAGATGTTGTCACAGACAGCTGCCATCCCCATTGAAAAGTGATCCTGTGTGTCCCTAGAAAGTGTGACCAACGATTGCAGTTGAGAAGTGCTAGGGGATGAAAAGCTCCTTTGGGCTCTCAGTACACTTGCATGGTGATCCTCCCTTGACCTTGAATCCCACTGCACCAGAATGATCCTTGGCAAAGATGGAAGCATGCTACCAACAAGGTGGTTGTGGGCAACGTCAGCATGGGAGGTGACTCCAGCCTGACTGCTCCTATCAGTTCAGGAGGGACAACATCCCATCACTTGTGAAGATACACATACTGCTCTACACAGACTGCAGAGGAATCACTCACCAAGATCCCCTTGGCAAATGTCAGTTCTTGTGGCTCCTCCAAGGATAAACTTGGGATCTTTGACGATGTCCTGGAAGAGTGGGAGTGAGACACAGAATGACTGAAACCATGCCAGGAAATATCGCTGTCACACTGAGCCCAGATGCGTGGCACTCTGCACATGAACCATGTTTTCCTGAGCAGTGTAGCCACCACAAAGAACTAGATGGGGAATCCTTGCTAATTAATTGTAATGTAGAGCAATTAAAGAATTAGCTATCCTCATTTCTTCCTAATGAGTTGGCTGTTAATGAAAGGCTGGCATTCTTTGTTCACCCATAGGCAATTGTTAAAACATAGCACATCCAGGTCCAGAATCCCAAAATTAAGCTACAAGCCTGGTTAATGCTTGCTTTTTTTCCCCAGCAGCTGAAAAAGAAACCCTAGAATTGGCAATTTACTTCAAACACAGTATTATGTCTTGTATTTATCTGCACATAACATGGCCTTACGGTTATGAAACACTGTATATTCTATTTCCTTCTCAAATAAGGAAATAAAAAAGTAGACTCCAGGCTTGTTTGTTTATAGAGCTGGTTTTTAGGAGTTGTTTTTTAACACTACACACCCTTGTGCTCTCAGATGTTGGAGGGAGTATATGATCAAGATGGCATTAAAGTAATTCTCAAGTATCTCAGCAGGATAGAAAAATTAAAGTGCTAAATCCACAAAAGTGGCAAAACCCCCCTTCCCTCCCCTTTCCAATGAACTGTAAATTGTATTGAACTGAATAGGAAAGAGAGGAGGATAACGTGTAATATACTACTGGAAGAATTCTCCTGTAATTAATCAGATTTCCTGGATATCCTACTGCAGATCTGTTGCATGAAATTCTTTTATTTAACCATCAGTTTGCTAAAAAAGGTAAACTAAAGAAGAAGGAAAAACAGCAGAGCTCATTCAGGCATTTAACCTGTGCCGTTGTCCATAAGGAAATTGGGTTACTCTTGGTTCATGTCAGTGCATTTTGTGAGGCCATCAGGGTAGGATACAGATAGTTTTGTTCAGCTTCCTGCACTTACTCATGAAGCATCTGCCACTGGCTACTGCTGCAGCCTGGGCTGTGACCCAGTTAATCCCTACTGCTGTTCTCATCTTCGGCAGCAAAGCCTGGGCATGCCCCAAATGTGCAGCCTGACTTTTTGGTCTGTCAGGTCATGCAATGCTTTGCAAGGATTTGCAGATGGTAATGGACTAGTACTGATGCTGAAGGGAACAGTGGATTTACTAGACAGAGTAGCTGGCTGTTTGCAGATATCATGCCTGAGAGTTCAGCTAAGATGCACACAACTTGCATCATGTCTAAACATTTTTAAACCAAAAGCACAGGTGTGTTTTCTGGACAGTCAGAGCAGGTACAAAAAGAGCATGCTGTGTGTCATTCCAAAAAATGGCATCCCGCAAGCATTGTCTAGTGAGCCAAGCCAAGGCATGCCAGTGCCTCTTTTTCATTTCCTCATGCCTTTTCAGTACATTTTGTTGTAATCATCCACTTCCTGTGAGGTGGCTGTGCCCAGAAGACATGACCAGCATTACAGCAAACCATGTAGCTCATCACATCAGCCACCTCCCTGCTTATAAGAGCAAGTTAGCCATGACTTATCTGTTGATGAGTAAGCTTCTCTTGGCAAAGCCACCCTCCTATGGGCGGCTTGTGCTGATCCACACAGCCTGTCTCCATATTGCTGAAAGCCTTTATGCAGGTCTGAAGTGGTCAAAACTCTCTTGTGGACCGGACAAACAGGAGGGAAGAGAGGAACATCTGCAAACCACTGATGAATGTGTTTGAAATGAACCTGGCTATAGCAGCTTAAGCTTTCTGCTTTGGATGTCCATGGCTCAGAGTCCACAGCACTGCTCTAAGGCAATGGCTATCCTGAATCCTCTTCAAAGTTCACATATAAGACACGCAGTGGGTGACCCAGTCTTTCAGAGAAAATACACATCCCTGTCCAACATGTAACAGGGACTCTCCCATAGCACCTTGAGCATGGCAGATCACCAACTCTATTCCATCCTTGCCAGAGTGCTATGATAAGGGTGAAAATGATCCAGGTGCTATACCTATGCATGAGCTTATCTGGCTGTCACTAGCTGATAAGTGGCTTTCTGTGACTTCAGTGTTGGAGAGAGTGGTCTTTAGAGAAAAGGGGCAAGTCACTCTATTTGGACAACAATCCTCACTGCCTACTGCCAGTTTTAGCTACTGAGGCACACACCTGCAGAAGCCAATGAGCCAATTCTAACAGCTGAGGGGAAGAAAGAATCACTTAGATGGCTGAGGATTCTCACACACAGCCACAGAAGAAGAAAGCAACACCTACGTAGCCAGTGCCACAGAGGCAGCATTTGGGCAGGAAGCTGGTTGCATATTTTGTTTGCCTTTGCTGTGGAGGAGGTGGTGGTGAGGTTATATCCCCAGTGTACCTGGCACAGAGAAACCAAACAGCACCTCCCTATCACCTGGCCCACCTGCTTGTTAAATACAGCCAGTCATGTGTGGATGGGATGGGAGTGATAAAAGCACAGTTCATTGCCTTTAGTATCGTGATGGCTGATAATGTAGCTGATCTTTAAGAACATGCCTTATTTTAGCACCAGTGCTCCCGGGGAACGTGATTCTCACAGCAAGAACTGCATTTAGCAGTTACCAAGAAACTCTGTGTTAGCAGAGATACTGACAAACACTGACACAGACAAAAATGCTGCTGAGCATTGTGAGTTTTTCATAGCTCATTGCCTATTACACAGCTCTACAGCTAACTAATAAGAAAATGTTTTCAATCTCTGTATCTAAAGCAAACATAAATGAAAATCGATGAAAAGGGATTTAAAGGACTTTGAATGGATTTGTGTCACGTTCTCTGCTACACAAAAGAAAACCAAGCACTGCATTTTATGAGTGGAAGTTATAAAAATATTCTTAAAGGAATTTTCAGTCTGGGTAGTACATAAATTTTAATCAGTTCATTCAGATCATTAAAGGACAAAGCCCAAAATTAGGCCCTGCGTTCATGCACAGCAGATAGCAATTCAAGGTTTGGCCTGCAGAAGGGTGTTGCCTAGAAGCAGGGCAGGGCAATGCTCAGGGAAATGAAAAGAGGCACCTGTACCTCTCCTGCTGTCTATGTTTCTTTGGAGTTACTGGAAGATAAATGGCATCGCTTGGGTCTCTGTCACGTATTGGAGATACATGGAGATCTAAGAAAAGCTGAGGCTGTTTACTGGGACCTTATTTTTTGTTATTATATTTCTCTGTCTGTTTCTCTGTCAGACCAGTGGCTGTTTATATTAGGATAATTTCCTTATTAATTTCCCCTATAGACCATGGGTAAAACATATTTGACTTCCTTTTCTGGTTTTTCATTCTTCATCTTTGCCATCCATCAACAACATCCATACTTAATCTTAATGTAGATGAAGTTAAAACTGATATTGTGCCACCCCCTCTAGTTACATTTATGTTCTGGGTTTCTAAACATTTTAGGAATAGGTCACCTTGAGGTGAGATTTAGATTGGACATAAGAAAAAGAATTTTCTTATGATAAGGTTGATAAAGCACTGGGACAGGTTGACCAAAGACGTGGTGGGTGTCCAGTCCTTGGAGACGTTCAAGGTCAGGCTGGTAGGCAAGTCTCTAGCTTTCCCAGACACTGAGCTATTAGAAATAAATGACAGATATACCAGTTTAACAGTTGAATTCAGATATGAATTAACAAGGGAAGAGAAGGAGCAATGAGAAAACTATAATTTAGTCTTAATATTATTCTGAAATTTACCAAACTAAACTGCTAAATATCTTTCTGACTCTCAGAACACTTAAGATTTATGTAGAAATCTGGATGTTCCCCTGGTGCAGCTCACTGCAGTTGAAGACTTACGGGCTTAGAGTGGCTGAAGGTCCGGTTTCACATCATGTACAAAGGTCTATGCACATGAAAATAAGGAGAAAGGCTTTATTCCCATTTCTCAACTATATCAAGGTGCAGATGTGAGGATTAACATTATTTTGCCTTGCAATTACCTGCATGCATTGTGCTACGCTACGCTTCAGTGGAGCCACTGTAAAACACTGGTAGGCAACGCAGTCACAAAGAAGCAATTTGAGCTCTGATACCTACATGTGGTGCTTTTGGGCTCACACTGCCAAGGCACACAGCTTGGCTAGCTGAGCTGTGATACCAACCTGGCACCTGCTCCAGGCTCATACCCCACCCGCAAAACACTAACTCAAAATGATGTTACAGTGATTGTATTCACTGCTGTAAGTATATATAAGTATAAACATAATTATAATGTAAATATTTATACTTGTAAGTGTATAAATATACTGATGGCTAATAGAGATGAAAATAATTCAGCTTAAATGCTGAGGAGTTAGAGGAGATTTTAACCTTGTTTTTTGGGTCCTCAAAGTGTCCCCTGAGCTGTATCTCTTGCTGTGCTGCTCTCAGAAGTTCAATTTTATTATTATTTTTTTGCATGGTGGAAATTGGAGCGTAAAGGCAGAGACTGTATCAGGTGACTTATTCATCATAGAAAAATTTCCACTTCAGCTTACAAACACCCAGAAGCTGAGAGCAGTAAGTACAACGGGCAGACCACCCTCTTCTGTCCTGGAGTACCACATACAGGGACACAGAAGCTCTCAGCTGCTACCAGTCACACCTTGGAGGAAGGCAGCTCACATCTCCAGCCTGCTCCTGGGGGCAGCCCACAGCCTACCTGTCTTTCAAGGCAATATCAGGCAAGACGGCATCAGTGCCATTGGAACCATCTCTTGGTTTTCATAGCTGAAACTTGTTGAGGAGTAATGGCTTTAATAACACTGCAGTGGCACTCCATTAGCTATCAGACACTAAGGCATTTGAATGATTCTCGTGGATTAAGTGAAGATAAAATATAAACCCAGCTTTAAGCTTCTTTTGTTCTTTGTCACTCATTATCACTATCGACAAAGGTAAGCTATCTACTAAGTGAGAAGCTTTCAGACTATGAAGGAAAAGAGAATAAATGTCAAGCATTAGCAAAGACATGAAATTAGCAACAAATTTTCTGTGGCCACTAGTTAAACTTGGGAATCTGGGGTGATGATGGGTTTGTGATCTGAGAGCATGTGACTGGTGAAGCTTCAGGCTATCACTGTGTTATTAATGACTGTTATGCAAGATGCATTAGGAGATACTCATTGAGCCCTTGGCTACTGCAGAATGCTCAGTGACTGTCATATGTGTTTCATGAAGGAAGCATCTCTCATTTTTAAAAGTGAAAAGTTTTGTTGGTTTTTTTTTTTCTTCCTGTTTAGCCTTAATTATGTATTTCTTCCATTAAGAACACTTGTTGTTTAGTTATCAAATCACCATGATGCATTTTACCTTTAATTCCTTGCATGCCCTCTCATTTTCATCTTTACACTACTTTTGTTTAGCAATAATGTAGGAGAGAAGTCTGATTAGAAATTGTTTATGCATTTACATAAATATGGGCACATTAAGTGTGGCTGCACATTAAGCTACAGGAGGCAGAAGAAAAACTACATACAATATTTAAAATGGATAAACCGAAGGCCTTCAGATGAGCAAGGGAAAATGGACAAATTATAGGATTTTCAGGACAGTCTAAAAAATTGTGAGCTTCAGAAACACTTGCAATGTTTTAGGAAATATTTTAGCAATTACAACAGCATCCCTACCCTTCCACTCCCCTCTGCAGTTGTAAGACAGCAACATACAGATCTGCTGGGCAAAACCTTCCAGCTCTGCTTCTTGCCAAGAGGACAAGACCTCACAAAAGCACCCCAAGCAGCCATCACGTTTCACTGCTGGATGTAGCAGTGATCCCACAGAACAGTGGGGTGAGTGGACATTGCGTACTCACCCCAGGCCTCTTCCAGAGGAAGGCAATCGGTGGCTTTTCACTGAAGAAGAGGGAGGCATTATTGGCGGGGAAGTCAGGGTCCTCAAAGAGGCAGCCACTGCGCAGGCACTCCTGCTTCAGCTCCTGGTAGCCCTTCCCTGAGCTGTGGGTGGCACGTGCCTCCTGTGGCAGCGGTGGTGGCCTTGGCTTTGAGTCGTGGAGGAGGTAGGGCATGGCTCCCAACAGGGAGAAGTGCAGTGGGCTGAGGTCTAGCAGAACAGGGCACAAGGGGAGAAATGAGCAGGAGCAGCTCCGAACAGCACGAGAGATGATGAACACCCTGAAAGCAAACAAGGAGGGAAAGCGTCTGGCCTGGCCACACCAGCTGCTGGGGTGGAAGCGGGAAGGTGGTGCCAGACCCTCCCTGGGGCAGGGCTGCTGTGCCCACCCGGTGGCAATGGGCCCACCCGGGGCCTGGCACCACTCCCAGCTGCCCCAATGAGGATGTGGGGACGGGCAGGAGGTGGCTGATGACTTCAAGGTATGCAGCTCCTGAGGAAAGCCCTCGTGGCAGCGAGCCACTGGAGTGAAACTGGAGCTGCAGGAGGGTGTAGCCTCGGCAGACACTGCAAGCTCGCTCTTTTCATCCTGCACCAGAGAAAAGCATGCCCAATGGTGGGGTTGTCTCTGCGCCCAGGTGTTGACCATGTAGAAGGACACCAGGGCTGAGATGCACAAGGGCTGGCTCCATGTTTGAGGTGGTGGAAGCTGATGCAGAGAGCTCAGAGCTGGGCAGGTAGCAGGAGATTTTAACTAAGTGAGGGATCCTATTGGACCGTGCATTTAAGAAGTTCCATGTCCTCTGTAACACAGGATTTTAAAACCAGACACACGCCTACTTGCCGCTGAGTTCAGGGTTTCATAACCTTGTTCATATCCTGTTGTGCTTTTGCTGCCAGCCACATCACATCTCACATTAGACAGCAAAACATTGTCCTAGAGAGGATGCCAGTACGGAGGATGATCTGAAGAAATAATGGCAAGGTTTCAGAGACAAACAGGCATGGATACTCCTCTATGCTTTGAAAGGCAAGAGATGCCACCCTCTCAGAACAAATTACAGTTCCTGTAATACAAAACACAGCCCTGAGTACAAACGCTGCTCAGCCTCCCTTTTCTTTAATTGGCCCTTTGGTAGACCAGTCAGAGCTTGCTGTCAGAGATGATTTATAGAGAGCAATTAGGTGAAACAGAATTAATTCCTTTCTGTTCTGCTATTTTTCACAGCAGTGCTGTGAGCAAAGCTTTCTCAGAGTGTATATTCCCATGTTTAGTACCCATAATTGTACCCATTGTTGATGTCTGCAGGCTCCCTCCTGAGGCCAAGTTGTCCAAGAATATAGGTGCTGTTCAAATGTGTGAGCAGAGCCAGGTCTTGTACTCCAAATGTGGCAATCATTTGACCAAACTTTGGGTGTGCAGAGCAGATCCCAAACTACACATCTCTGCTTTTTCTACAGTCAGTGCAGAAGAGCTGTGCCTCCAGCAAGTGATTCATTGTGTCCTCATTCGTAAGACCTCTCTGGAAATGACCGTGTCTTTTGACCGCCTGGAGGTGAAGCCTCATGGCCTATCTTAGAGTAGCTACCCAGCTATTAAATGTGTGTATCAAGTGAGATGAATCTCAGCTAAAAGTCTAAGATAGGCAAAGGGCATGAATGCCAACATGAGCCTTAGGGATGCGATGTACCCAGTGTACCACATTCAGACAGTGGTTAAAACGGGAATGTTCTTTAGCCCACACAGAGATGCTGTGGATTAGGCTTGTTTTCACATACCAAACTAACATGAAGATTGGAGAAAGAAATGTGCAGCACCCTGGACACAGCTATAAGTGTGCTGAGCTCTGAGGGGTGCTCTTGCTGCTGAAGGGGAATTGATAGAGTTTATCTCCTATGTGTATACTTTGGTGCATCACAAGGGATGTTTTCACACTGCAGCAATTCACTCAGAGGGTAGGGACAGTCCTTCCCACCTCCTCCCCTCCACCCCCCCCAGCATGAAGCTTCAAGTCACGATGCTGCATGAAACGTCTTATCTCTGAGATCTCAGCCTCACTTCAAGTCTGCCTGAAAATGGCCTAAAGAGATGATGCCTGGGGAAGGCAGATGGTAAGCCTCATCCCAGAAGGCATTCAGGGCCAGGCTGGATGTGGCTCTGGGCAGCCTGATCTAGTGGTTGGCAACCCTGCCCACAGCAGGGGGGTTGAAACTAGATGATCTTTGAGGTTCTTTTCAAACCAGGCCATTCTATGATTCTATGATAACTCTGTGAAAGAGACAAATGAGCAGAAAATGCTCTCAAAAACATTTCAGTTCCCAGATTTCTACATCACTTTATATCTCACTAGCCATGCTGAAGTGTTTTACAAGAAAAGGGTCTTCAAGCAGTTTTGCTCTTTAACACGAAGTCCCCTTTTAAAGCAAAGAGAAGTACATTTTTCTCCTGAAACAGCTCTTGTTAGTATTGCCACTTTGTGCTGTCTGCAAGCCCTCAGGTGTGGTTACAGGCTGGGGGAAAGTGAAACATTTGCATCTTATATCAGGTAGGATACTTCAGTAAATTGTGGCTTTCTAACAGGTAAAGAGTGGATCAAAGAAATTGATACCATCTCTCTATGAATGACATTGGTTGGTCTTTTCATTCATTGGGGCAATTATTTGTGTTAGATTTATGTATAGTAGGGACTATTAAACTCTGCATTGTGCTTGTAGCTGTGTAGATATGTTCCCTGCTGGAACAACGCTATACATATAAGAAATGAGGTAATGGGGAGATAAAAGGGAAAGGCTATAAAAGTGGTTTTGAAAGGTGGATGTGGCAGGGAGGTTTATGTGAAAGGATTAGTTTGATATGAGCAAAAGGGCAATTATACCTATCTGTCCTGGCCACTTTGCCACAGATAACTGCAAGGATGCCAAGAGAAATAATTATTTTTGTGGCATTCCACTATGGACAGTGTAGCAGAAATGCTAAGTTGCAGCTGGAACCAGTGATTGAACACCTGGTGGGAAGGCAGGGCCAACCCAGAGGAGCTCAGGTGCATGCAATGTACCTGATGGATGAGAAGGGGTGGAGCCAGGATGCACCCCTTCCCAGACCTCATTTAAGGATTGGCAGTGCAGGTGAGGGTATCTTGTTGGAGATTTCTATGTGCTGGTGACCTTTTGAAGGTAAGTAGATTTTCTTTTGTTTCTGCATCTGTGGCTGCTGTGTTTGGGCTTGTTCTCATATGCTGTAGCCTAGGATTGTGACACTCCACTGTTATTGCTGTGCTTTCCATCACATTGTAGTATTACAGTGTTATAGACAGACAACAAAAATGTGTTGTTATAGCTCAGGATACTGACAGACAGTATTAGATCCACTAACTTAAAAAGGCTTTGATCCTTAGTCATCTGGTCCTCTGAGAAAAAGCTGAGTAGATTTTTTTCACTGAAAAAGGAGGTGAACACAGACAATGAGAGGCTGTGACAGCAGGCTTTGTACACTTTCACTTGGCAAGCTGTTGCAATGGACATACTGTCATATTAAAGCAGTATAAAGAGGAGGGCTTGTGACAGGCCTGAGCAATTCCTTCGTCCATGCTTGTATTGTCTCAGTGCACAGTAGGTTTCCATCCCCCTCTCTTAGCAGGGGTGATAGGGCAGGTCTGTCCTGGCCCTGCAAAGTGAATGCCTGCACAGCTGTGAAGGAACGGCTAGCTGAGAGACAGATGTCAGAGTGCATGCAATTAGCTCCCAGTAGACCTTCTCTGGAAAACCAATAGGCTCTTGTAGGTATGGCTGGGCAGGACGTTAAGTTGACAGTATAGAGTTCATGTGATGCACAGGCTGGCAATGTGTAGTGAAGTTGAACTTTTTTTTTTTTTTTTTCCCTCTATGCACCATCATTAAACTCTGCTCCTTAAAATGCATGGAGCTTTATCTGTTACCTTCAGCTCTATCCAAGGGCTCTAAAACCTACAGAGGATGTGAGCACTAGTTCAACTGCTGCCCATAGGCATCCTTCAGATTGGCTACAGATGAAGACTGCTGGCTCCAAGGATGTAGGCTGCTATTGGAGCCTTTAGGCAAAGGCTGTGTGAAGCACAGCTCCTGGGAACCACCAGCCCATAGCCAGGAGAGCAGCTTGGAGAGGTAGGATTTCACTTTTTCTATTACCCCAGAAGTGATACTTGTTTCTGTTCTCCAGAACTTTTGAGTGTTGAGACTTCATTTCCTTTTCCATCATTAATGCTGTCAGATTAAATTTCCTTGACTTGTTGCCTTTTTATTGAGAGGGCATAAGGTTTGATTTGAATTTCTGTGGCCTTAACTGCCTTTCATGGGAGGAAGACTCTTAGTCTCTCTCTCTTCAGCTGTTATTCAAGGTGACGTAAATGGAACCTAAAAAGCCCAACGTAGGAAACTACTATGTCTACTTCTTGCTGGGCTTTGTGCTACAGCTCTGAATTTCAGCCCTTATTTTTCAACGTCTGGTATGAGCTTTTCTTAGTCACACTTATATAATTCCTTCCCCATTGACACCAGGTGGGCCCTGGTCACTCAGGATTTAAAGTTGGTTATTCAAATGACAGCAACCTGATTAAGTCTTTCATAACCTTGTTGTCATTAAACCTCATGCCCTGTCATCAGTTTAATGTTTCAGGGTTTATCCTCTGACCTGACTGCTTGTTGGCTGCTGGCTAAGCTCTTCCACTGCTCTGTCCTTTTCTAAGGGGCTGTTTCAGGCCAGATGATTTCATTTTGTGCTGTCTCCAGGGGCTTGAAAAACATGACTGGTTTGTCTGGGTCTCCTTATAGCTCTACCTATATTTGCACTGATTTATGGATAGAATTTACTATGTAGATTGAGGTGCCTCTGAAACTGAGCAGCTCTCTGTCCTTGCTTCCTCCTCTGACTTTGTGTGAAGCTATATAAAACATCTTTGTTCTGTCTCTGAGATTAGTCTCATTTTAAACTGCTTGGTGCCTTTCTGGACTTTGCATTGATTTGAATCCAAATGTCACAGCCACAGTCACATGAAACCGCACTGTTTCTTATACTTTCCATTACTTTGGCCCAACGTAGTGTGGACTTTTGCCCAGTGTCTTGCAGCCTGGCAGAGTTTGCTCCTGCTCCTGCACACATCTTTGCTAACTGGGAACATGATATAATGCTACAACTGTAGCTGAGACCGGATGAAATTGAGCCCAGCTTGAGGTTAGTTTTTAAAGACTTCCTTCAGTTTTCAGCAGTAAGGCAATACAGGCTTTCTCTGGCCTGTTCTCTAGGGAAAACATCCTTCTCTTTCATTTCCAGTGGCAGAAGAGAGGCAAAGGAAGGGGAGTTCAGGAATGTCATGCTTGGTTTTAGGGGTTGTGCTGGGACTGTAAGCCAGGCCTGAGGTCTAGGCTGCCCTACTAAATGTCACAACCAGCTTAGTGAAAAATGCTTCAGAGAATGAGGAAAAGGGTTCTGGAAACCATGGGGAGGGGTTTAATAACTGCTCCTTTAAAACCCTGCTCTGGCTTTTTTTTTTTTAAAGAAAAAAATCCCTTGGAGGGACTGAAAGATGTCAGAATCTCGTCTAAAGGAGGAGACCAAAATTGCATGCTCAAACCATTTTGCCCAACAGAGACATGCTAGATGCCCCTAGGCAGTTGCTTCCTCCATGCTGAATAGTAGCAAACAGGCCTTGTCCTAAAGAGGAGTCTAAGACCACATTTGGGGCAGACATGCTCACACCACGTGCGGCTCTGCCATCCTTGACTGCTGGCAAGGAAATGCTGACACAGAACAGATGTATCCTGGAGCTGTATCATCACCCTGAGTAGGGGTGACACCCAGGGGAGATCCCTGCTGCTACAAGCGGGCCCCTTCTCTGACCTCTCTGCACAAGCCTGGCAGTAGCATTGCTACTTCTCTCTTTATGCATCCAGAACGAAAGACAAAAGACATCATTCTGTATGCTTTAGTGAGTAATGACAGCATTATCTGTGCTGGCAGCTGCAGTATCAGTTAGGCAGCTCTCTAAGTACTTTACCAGGGCAAACAGGCATAGCTATCTGAGCTGCATGTCCAGGTTTTTGTTAGAGCTGAGCCAGCACTGCTGCATTCATGCATTACTTTGGAAGAGGAGTTGTTTAACAAACAAAAGGGTGCTTTTATGATTTATTTTTATTCTTCTCTTTTGAGCTGTGAAACATCAAGTGGCAGTGTAGGAGAGGGGCCAGCTGCTGCATCTCCTCAACCCTTTCATCACAGGAAAGCCCTACAGGAATTCGGGTTTTTGGGGAAAATAGATGTCAGAGCACCCTCTGGGCTTTTGGGGAGCTTAGGATTTACAAAGGCTTCCATCGGTGTGTGTTCCAGCACCCTGACCAGAGGCAGTCCTACTTCTACATCACTGAGAGCATCCTGGGCTGAATTCACTGAATTCGTTCAGTTTTATCCCCCAGGCAGTAAGCTGAAGTCTTATTCTACAGTTAATACTGAAAAGGTGCTAAGGTAAAGTAAACCCAAAACCACAGCAAACATTCAAATGTTTGCTTTGGAACCATCCAGTAAAAACAAAAGAGCAGGAAACTCTGCTCTGACTGCTTTTTGCCACTTACTGGACCCTCAGAAACTTCAGTCACGAGCTTTCATTATTTCTAGCATCCCTCTGCCGGGCAAAATGATCTGAAAATAGCAGTGGGCCTACGTTTAACTTTCATCCCCCTTGCTTCCAGGGCTGTTGGCTGAGCAAAGCGAAAGGAGGTTAATATTTCCAAGGGCTGCATAACCGGGGTCCTCCACGCGGCGGCAGCTTCGGCTCAGGAGAAAGGAGCGGCGGCCGGCGGGCGGAGCTGCTGCTGTGCTGTGCTCTGTGCTGTGCTGTTCTTCTGCAAGCTGCTGGGCTCCGGGCAACCCCACCGTGGTTGCAAGCAGCCCTATGGGTGCTGGTGCGTCTGCAGCGCAGCCCTGCTAGGCTCAGAGCCTGCCAACGGGAGCTGTATCGTACCGAATGTCGCTTTAAGCTGCAGCAATGCCTGCTGATGTTAATGTGTGCTTGTTTGCAGGTGTTGTATTGTTAGGTGAGATTTGGAGATAGGTGGGCACCAGCAGAAAGGTTGCCCTCAAGGGAAAAGGAGATGCGGAGGTGGTGGTGCTGCTGCAGGGAGCCGGGAGCAGCCTCCTCCATCACACAGCAGGGCTTGTAGCACTGCTGGAGGTGCCTTGGGAACATTGTGCCCCATGCATCATTTTGGGGAGACCTCAGCTACTCGAGTCAGCCCCACAGCTGCCCACTCACAATGTGTATGTCCAGGTACAGGCAACGAAGCTGTGAGGGGTCTGGAGAACAAGTTTTACAGGGAGCAGTTGAAGGAACTGGGACTATTTAGTCTGTAGAAGAGGAGACTCAGGGGAGGCTTTATCACTCTTCATAGTGACCTGAAATGAGGTTGTGGTGAGGTGGGGGTTGATCTCTTTTCCCAAGCTGACAATAGTAGAACAAGAAGGAATGGCCTCAAGTTGTACCGGGGAGATTTGTATTAGATATTAGGAAAACTCAAGAGTGGTGAGGCACTGGCACAGACTGCCTGGGAAGGTGGTTGAGTCACCATCCCTGGAGGTGTTCAAGAACTGTGTAAATGCGGCACCAAGGGATGTAGTAGGCATGGTGGGTTGATGGTTGGCCTAGGTGATCTTACTGGTTTTTCCAACCTTAATGATTTTATGATTCTATGACCGAGTCAAGCATGACACTGATTCAGTTTTTATGCTGAGAAATTGGAATTAGGGTTAACCTTTGATCACATGATCCCTGGTTTAGTTGTGCTGCTCTTTGCTGTGAGAACCACCAGCAGAAGCGGGATAATCTCTCTTTCATCATCTGCACTTTGAATGCTATTATTGAGAAGCATTTTTGCAATCCTCTTTACACAAAAAATTGGGCAAGTGCTGAGTACATCCCTCTGTTCCCCAGCTGCTTTCACAGAAAAGTGTGTCCCGCCAACAAGGGCAGAAATCAGGTGTACAGAGAGAACGTGAGAAAATAAAAATTACATATGAAGCTTTTCCTTTTCAAAGTATTATTAAAATAGTCCCCAGAAAAATTAGTTTGCACAGCCTTTCTCCATCAGAGATAAGGGAAAATAAACAAATTGAGCCCATGGCAACTTGCCATAGTTGTCACAGAATGGAGGAAGGCTGGTTTACTATCATGCAGAAACCTGCCTGGCCCACCAACAGGTCTGTACTACCTGACTCCTCCCTACTTATTTACTCTGGGAATATCCAGTGAGTACTTTGTGTGCAGCAGAAGTGAGAACAGATCCTGAACGTCTGGCAGGAGACAGAGGAACAAATTCCAGACCTCGGGGCAGTGAATCTGCCACTAGTTAATATAGGTGCTTTCTCTAAGCAAGAGAAGAAAAAATTTCCCCAAAGTGGCTAACTGATATTAGGAACCTATACACTGTTTTTGAAAACTGTTCACATTCCCCAGGGCTTATTGATTTTTTTTTTTTTTTTTGAAAAGACAACAGTGTGCTCCAAAGTGTGCTGTACGAAGGAGCACTGCCCAGTTGGGGTCAGGTTTGCTGGGTGTGATGCTTCATTGACATTGTGACACTGAAATAGTATTTCCATTTTTGCTGGATGAGCCAGGTTAAGATGACCTTAGCTCAGATATCCCTATTTCCATCATAGGCTGTAGACAGGCACTTAAAGAGGAGTCTGTGAGGTGCTAACATGGATCTAACTAGAAATCATGACAGCTTATTGTGTGGGGATCTCCTGAGTTAGCACCTGAACTATCATGTTTTGCATCTTCTGATGATTGTGCCCTCAGTAATTTCATGTAATCTCTTTTGCTTCAGTTAAACACTTTCAGTTTCTACAGTATCCTGTGGCTGTGCCTTCTGCAGTTCGTATACGAAGCAGGACACTTCCTTTCTTTTACATTTTCTGCCTATAATTTTACTGAGAACTTGCTAATTCTGGCAAAACAGAGTCAGCACTTGCTGTGTGCCTTCACCATTTTGCATTTTCTCTCCCAGTCCCAGTGGTTACTCTTCCAAACCAAAATGCCATGTTCTCCCCAAGCACTTGGTTGCTCTACAAAGATTTTATTGGGGGCTTCACAAAATCTCTTCCTTCCAGCATCATG